ACGCTGCGAGCTGGGACGGACGCGGCGAGCTGGGTTCGCTGGGACTGACGCGGTGAGTTGGGTCCGACGCAGCGAGCTGGATCCAACGCGGCGACCAGGGTCCGACAGGACAAGCTGGGGAGGCACGGCGAGCTGGAGTGCGGGCTTGCTGCCCGGTGCCTAAACCAGTGCGAGGCCCACTGCCGCATGTGCGCTGACGCGACGACGGCGGCACGGCGGCACTGAGGCACTGAGGCACGGCGACGTGACGGGGCCGGCGCGGCATGACGGGGCCGGCGCGCCATGACGGGGCCGGCGCGGCGTGACGGGGCCAGAGCGGGGTGACGGGGCTAGCGCGGCGTGACGGGGCCAACGCGGAGGGACGGGGCCGGCGCGGAGTGACGGGGCCGGCGCGGCGTGACGGGGCCAGCGCGGAGTGATGGGGCCAGCGCGGCGTGACGGGGCCAGCGCGGCGTGACGGGGCCAGCGCAGCGTGACGGGGTCAGCGCGGAGTGACGGGGCCAGCGCGGCATGACGGGGCCAGCGCGGCGTGACGGGGGGGGGGGGGGGGGGAGTACGCTGCGGAAGCGTGAGGAGAAGGCCCGAGCGAAAGGGGCCTGCTCTGATACCATGTTAGAAGACTAGGCTAGGATGAAAGGAAGGAAGCCATGAATGGCGTGAGGGTTTAGGAGCTAGGAGCTAGGAAGTTGACAAGAGAAAAGAGGGTGGGACTAGAAGAGAGAGAGGCATACGAGGGAGTTGTACCCTCTACAGTAGAGTTCGATAAAACCTACCAAGCCTACTAATTATATAACAAAATATATAATTTAACAAAAACCACCATGTTTCTCTCATTGTAGTCAACCTTTCTACTTTGAGACATCAACTTTCCGGTTTCTCTTTGGTTGAGACAATTCAATCTTATTTTCAAATCCGACATACTAATTAATGCGTTATTAAGCAAAACAAGCCAACACAAACAAGCAAATGCAGTGAAGCATATACTACACATGTTGCCATTTACGTATGGAATCATGGTACACCTCACCTGGCACTCAGGTACGCTGCCCATCTTACAACATGCGACTTCTATGCTCCTTCACTCTCCCACTATCACAAGCATGTGTTTTCTCTTACGTCTAAACCACTTCTACCCTCTCCACCCACCCACCCATCCCCTCCATCGGAGAGTTGTGGTCTTAAGATAAGTAATGTGACCCCAACCCACCCCTTCTCTCTCACAAGGCTTGTGATCTGTGATGTGACCCCAACCCACCCCTTCCTTTCTGTGACTCCATCCCTTCCCCTTCCCCTTCTCTCTCTCAAGACTTGTGATCAGTGATGTGACCACACTACCACTGTGTCAACCTGCGAAACCCGGAATGATTGAGCTCCTCGGCTGGAATACCCACATGCCCCTAATCACTAAGGCCTCCAGCGGGAACAGAGTCACAAATCATCGTGTCACAAATTATGAAGTCAAGTCGAGCCCGATGGTGGTAGAATACGTCTCCGCCGGTATGACGGCCAGGTGCTGGGTGGAAACCTAAAGCTACCCGCAGGCACGATCTCAAAACATCTGAAGGAGCGATAAGGAAACCCGAGATAGTTCCTGTTGGATGGGAGCACGGAACACAGGGCGGATACGCAGGATAGTTGTTTGGATGGGGAGATGCATACACAGCAGGAGGAGAAGAAACGATACCCGGAATTACTGCAGTAAATACAGATGTGGTTGCATGCAGGGAGGATAGACACATAAATGGCAAGATCCCAGTTGGGAGAAATCCGGTGTGCAAGGCAAGGGGAGAGGGATAGGGAGGGGAAGACAGAGACAGGTCGCATCGGGTAAGTTGGTTGTTACACTCAAGGAATGCTCCCAGCGCTCATGCCTCCCTGCCGTCCCAGGAAACGTATCCTTCAATCCGATGCCCCTCATCTGGTAACCTTTTTTTAAAATTATAAAAATGACCTCCCGATAAAATGTGTGCTTTGCGATGATAAGCAGAGCTCCACAATACCACTCACGGAATGGATGTACTGCTGATGCCACCTATCTGCACGTAAAACGAATCATATGCTCCAACGCATCCCTCCGCATAATACCCCTGGATTGCCCTGCAGTCGCCCGCGCCCCCAGGGGCGCGCTGCACGCTGCAGTAAGACTTGATGCCCGTAGCGCTGGACAGGTCGAGGGTGGTGCAGTTGTCGTACGGCAGGCGGAGGGTGTAGGCGGCGGGCGTCAATCCGAAGTTTGGCAGCATGTAGTGATAAATGTGTAGTATTCTGTGGTGTATTTTGCTCTAGCTGGTTGTGGGCTATTGGGTTTTGGGCAAAAGAACTTGGGTTGGTTGGCAAGGTTTGAACTCGTTACCTTTCCAACCCATACAACCTCAAACCCACTACAACATCTGTGATGTTGCAGTCATGGCACTTGAGAGTGTTGGCGTTTGGTCTAGGGCAATGGTTGGTGGTGTTTGACAATCACATACTGGAACTTTTCCAGATCGAACTACTTCCCTTCTCGTTTTTACTAGGTGATTCATGGCTGCCTAGCCAAATTACCAGAATATCCCCTCACACTGATTTCGTCATAATCGACGGCTCAGATCTTGGTTATGAACGTGCTTTACCATTCTGGAAAGTAGAGATTAAGACCTTTCCAACGCGTATAAGCTCATTTCTATAAGTTACCTGAGCAGCACGCAATGATCCGTTGAGGTCGTCAGACTTAATCTCTAATTAGTTCTCTCCAGATTTGCACGATTTTCATCAGTGGTATCAGAGCCACGGTTAGAGGACGTTCTTTCCTCCATTGGAAGAGATCTAGAGAGGCTTGAAGTGCTCCAGATCTAGGGTTTGACATGGCCCAAAAGTTGGATGGCCCTCCTAGGTTTACCGGCTCGGACTTTTCGCTATGGAGGTTCCAGTTCACACTATGGCTAGGTATTAAGGACCTAGAAAGTGTGTTGGATGGATCGGAGAAGCGACCACGAGCTGACTCTGGGGATGCGTCTACTGGAGCAACCAGCCAAGTGGGATCCGGGGCTGGGTGAGCATCGTTGAGTGGGGGGAATGAAGGAGGAACCGCTGCAACTCGAACTGGAAGGTCGCAACCAAGTCGCGAGGAGTTGCTCAAAGCTCAAGAAGCATGGGATCGGAAGGATCGCCAAGCATTTCAGTACCTGTGTTGGGCTTTGGAGGGGCAACTTGAGCTTCTTAAGATGCTGATTGACCTGAAGGGGAAGGAAGGTGCAGCAGCTGCAGCTTGGAAAAGAGTGCAAGATAGGCACTTGCAGAAAGGGCTTCTAAGCGTGCTTACTTGGCGGAAGCGGTTTTACACCATGGAGCGGAACTATGGGGAGGGGGAGACCATGGTTCAGTATCTCCAGAGGGTGGATGAGAATGTGAGGGCTTTGGAGGAGCTGGATTACACGGTAGATGAGAAGGAGATCATCAATACTGCACTCCAAGGGTTGGATCAAGCGGCTAATGAGGCATTACTACAGTACCTTCACCTCGAGCAACAGAAATGGACCAAGGTGTGGATTTGGGAGGTTCTAATTTCTGATGAGGCTCGCAAGGTTGATGCTGGAAGAGGCCTAGAAGGAGGCATGGGTGCAGCAGATAAAGCTTCCTTCAGGAAAGGCTATCAACAGCAAGGAGGTGGGGGGAAGAAGAAAGAGTTGGACAAATGCCTTGTGCCCGGATGCAACAAAAAACACTCTTGGAAGAGTTGCTGGAGTAGGCCTGAGGGATGGAAGCCTCACGGCTACTCTGGAGAGGCCCCACCAGTGACCAAACCTGATTGGGTGGAGAAAAGGATGAAGAAGGGGCTCTGGAATAAGAAGGGCAGCAAGGGAGCAACGGCGGCAGCTGCTAAGGATGAGAAGGGGAAGGGCCAAGACGACTCCTCCGATGATGGTTTCTCGTTTCTCATGCTAGGGCAGGATGCATCTCTCGCTGGTCGTGCATTGGCTGATCCCAACTTCCTGGTTCTAGACTCTGGAGCAACATCTGGGATGCTTCCTCGCCGTGATCTCTTCACCTCCTACCATCCTCTCCCACCAAACTCTAGGAGAGTGATTGTTGGGAGCGAAGATTTGCTGCAGGCAATTGGCATCGGCACGATCACCATTAAGGGGAAGGAGGGGGAGCTAGTGGGTGTGAAGGGGGTCCTTCACATCCCTGGTTTGGCTGCAAACCTCCTTTCATGCTCGCAGCTGGCTAAACAGGGATACATCTGCACTTTCACTGAGGGAGGGTGCACTGTTAGAAATGGTGAAGCTGTGGTGATGGAGGCAAAGCTGGACAAGGGTTTATACCTTGTTCCAGCTTGTGTGCCTAATTGTTACAAGGCACATATGGTTTTTTCTGAGGAAGCCGCTTGTAGCACTCGCTGGAGGCAGGTGGAAACGGTGTCACCTGAGTTGCTACACCTTCGCATGGGCACGCGGGGAAGCAGCAACTACTGGAGTGTGTGAAGAAGGGGGAGCTGAAGGGGGTGGAGGTCAAGGAAGGAGCTGGGCAGTAGAGAAAATGTCCTGACTGCACATCTCGAAAGCTGCCTAGAACCTCATTCCCTATCTCCTCTGATCATGCCTCGACTCCCCTTGAGCTTGTGCACACGGATGTGTGTGGACCGATGCAAACTCCTGACCGGGAAAGGGGCAGCAGGTACTTTGTCACCTTTCTTGATGATTTCAGTCGACTTAGCTGGGTCATCTTGGTGAAGACCAAGGATGAGGTGGCAAAGGTGTTTAAGCGGTGGATACGCTATGTGGAGAGGGAATCAGGGGCCAAGGTAAAGGTGTTAAAGTCAGATCGGGGTGGAGAGTACCTTGAGAACGAACTTCAAATCTTCTTGGAAGAAAAGGGTATTTCCCACCAGCTCTCTGTACCTTACACGCCGCAGCAAAATGGGGCAGCGGAGCGGCTTAACAGGACCTTGACCGATTTGGCTCGGGCCATCCTTGCCCATGCCGAGCTTGATAACACTTAGTGGGGGGCAGCAGTGCAGTATGCCAACTGGGTGAAGAACAGGATGGGCAGCAAGGGGCTTGGAGGCAAGAGCCCATACTCCTTATGGACAGGGAAGGTGCCGAATGTTTCCATGGCACGAGTGTGGGGGTGCATGGCTCAGTATAAGGTACCTGACCAGCAAAGGAGGAAGCTAGATCCTAAGGCACAGTGGGGGATTTTCCTTGGGGTTTCTAAGAGGAGCAAGGCTTGGGTGCTATGGAGTGTAGCTGACCAGCGTGTGATGGAGAGCCGTGATGTGATTTTCCATGAGGGGCTGAATTATAAGGGGTGGAAGGAGCGTGGTGCAAGCCATAGTGGGACTTCCATTCAAGACCCTCATACGGCCTCTATCTTTGAGGGGGCATGGGAGGACCCTGGAGATGAAGGGGAGGAGCAGCACGAGGAGCCAGAACCAGCTGATTCTAACCATGAGGAGTCCCGAGAGACAGATTCTACCCCTCAGCCAGCCACGCAGGCCGATGCGCATGATGATCAGCCGGAGCAGCATGTGCCTTCAACTCCATCGAGAAGCAGTTGGCAGCAGTTGTTGGACCAGCAGCTGTCCAAGACTCCAAGGACTCCAATGAAGAGGGTGACTTGGGAGGAGAAGCTGCGGAGGCTGGAAGAAGGAGAGGCAACACCTCTGCGACGCAGTGCTCGAATTTCCCAGCCACCTGAAAGGTTTACCCCGGGGCACATTGCACGCATGCATGATCATCTTGTGTCTGATTTGGATGATTGCATGCTTGTGGACATGCATGGACATGAGTATGCTCTTGATGTGTGTCTAATGGGTCAGGTGCATGAGCCTAGGTCAGTCCACGAGGCGCTGAACCGTCCCGAATGGGTTGAGTCCATGCATGAGGAGCTTGAGTCTCACAAGGTAAATGGATCATTTGAGTTGGTTGATCCAGCAGTGGTACCACCTGGTTTGGAGGTCCTCAGGTGTCAATGGGTTTGGAAATACAAACATAACCCTGATGGTACCGTTGAGAGGCCTAAGTCCACATTGGTGGTGATGGGAAACATGCAGAAATTGGGAGTACACTATGAAGAAGTGTACTCTCCAGTTGGGAAGCATGCGACCTTGAGAGGTATGCTTGGAATTTCGGCTGCTTTGAAGCTTGATATCCATCATATGGACGTCAAGACAGCCTTCCTCCATGGGGAGTTGGAAGAAGAGCTTTACATGCGGCAGCCTCCTGGTTTTGATGATGGGTCTAACCGAGTGTGTCACCTCAAAAGGTCCATTTATGGGCTGAAGCAAGCCCCACGACAGTGGTACCTGAAATTTGATGAGGCTCTCATGGATTTTGGGTTTGAGAGATCTGAGTGTGACCCTGCCTTGTACCACTTTGTGCGAGATGAGGAGAGGATCTCCTTATTCCTCTATGTGGATAACCTTTTGCTCCTATGCTCTAGTAAAGTTTTGTTAGATCAAGTGAAAGACTTCTTGTCCTCGCGTTTTCGCATGAAGGACTTGGGGGAGGTGAAGTACTACTTGGGAATGCAAATTGAGCGTGATGAGAGTGGTATCTTGATTCATCAAGAGAGGTACATTCTTAACATGCTTCAGTCCTTTGGTCTTTCAGAGGCCAACCCCGTGCGTACTCCTCTCCCGACAGGCTTTGATGTGCATGCCTATGAGGATGAACCTTTGCTGCGAGATGAGCTGGTCAAGCTCTACCAAAGCATTGTGGGATCCCTCATGTATGCTTGTACTACCACACAGCCACAGATTGCATTCGCAGTCTCACAGCTATCTAAGGTCGCCTCTTGTCCTAAAATGTTCCACTTGCAGGCCGCTAAGAGAGTGCTGAGGTACCTGAAAGGTGGTGTCAAGTCAGGTATCTTCTTCCAAACACAGCCCCAATATCAGGTCCAGCTGGTTGGCTTCAGTGATGCCGACTATGCTGGAGATTCCGCAAGTCGCAAGAGCCATAGTGGGTATGTGTTCTGCCTGAATGGGGCAGCTATCTCTTGGCAGAGCAAGAGGCAGCCCGTGGTGGCACTCTCTACCACTGAGAGTGAGTACATAAGTCTGTGTCATTGCATTCAGGAGGGTGTGTGGCTGAGGCGTTTGTTTGGGGAGTTTGGCCATGCTCATGCTGGTGGTGTGCCTGTGTTTGTGGACAATCAGTCTGCCATTGCCCTTGCACAGAATGCATGCTTGCATGGCCGCACCAAACACATGCAGGTCCGGTGGCATTTCATTCGGGAGATGGTGGCTGCGGGAGAGGTGATTTTGCAGTGGTGCCCCACCAACCGTCAGGCTGCTGATATCCTTACCAAGTCTCTTCCATTTGAGCGCCATGGTGTGTGCATGACCTTGCTCGGGATGCAGCCCCATGATGACAGGGTTCCCGCAGCAGATGCCGGCGTCTTGGTGCTCCTCTCCTTGGCGGACTCCATGCTCTGGGTGGCCCCAACCCATGGGCAAGGGGGAGTGGTGTGAAGTCTTTTGCCCTATGGTGTTGAGCCACACTCAGCACGAGCAAGGGGGAGTGATAAATGTGTAGTATTCTGTGGTGTATTTTGCTCTAGCTGGTTGTGGGCTATTGGGTTTTGGGCAAAAGAACTTGGGTTGGTTGGCAAGGTTTGAACTCGTTACCTTTCCAACCCATACAACCTCAAACCCACTACAACATCTGTGATGTTGCAATCATGGCACTTGAGAGTCTTGCGTTTTGGTCTAGGGCAATGGTTGGTGGTGTTTGACAATCACATACTGGAACTTTTCCAGATCGAACTGCTTCCCTTCTCGTTTTTACTAGGTGATTCATGGCTGCCTAGCCAAATTACCAGAATATCCCCTCACACTGATTTCGTCATAATCGACGCTCAGATATTGGTTATGAACGTGCTTTACCATTCTGGAAAGTAGAGATTAAGACCTTTCCAACGCGTATAAGCTCATTTCTATAAGTTACCTGAGCAGCACGCAATGATCCGTTGAGGTCGTCAGACTTAATCTCTAATTAGTTCTCTCCAGATTTGCACGATTTTCATCATGTAGAAGGTGAAGCTTGTCGAGGAGACGGTGGGGGTGGCGCCTGGACACATGGGGGGGAGCACAGGCATACGGGAATGAACAGTTGTGGGGGAGAGCACAGGCAAGGGTGGGTGGCGTTATGCCCAACCACGGCAGCATGTAGAAGGTGAAGCTGGTGGAGGAGACGATGGTGGTGGCACCTGGCAGGGAAGAGGAAACAAGGGGATTGGGAAGAGAGCGAAATACAAGCACACAGCATAGGCAGAGGGCGTGAAGCCGAGGATTGGCAGCATGTAGAAGGTGAGGCTCGGGGAGGAGATAGTGGGGTTGGGCCTGGACACAGTGGGGGGGCATGGACATACAGGGATGAGAATTTAAGGGGCGTTACGCCATGCCCTCAAAAGCAAGATTTTTAGGCGAGGACCTAGCATAATACGATGCAAAACGTGCATCGTACCTAGGAAGCATGCATGCACTCGCTACACCTTGTATGCAGGCACCACATGCCACACCCTGAATCCAAGAACCACTAACCTAAATCAACCACTTGCCAAACCCTCATCCAAGCACCACTAGCATGTAAGCACCACCACTCCGTGATACCTTGGACGCAGCCAGCGTCGGTCATGCCATAGCCGGGAGCACACAGGCAGTACCAAGCCGAGGAGAAGGCCTTGGTGCACGTGGCTCCCACAGGGCACTTGCCACAGTTGGTGGGGCCTGTAGAGTGCGGAGAACAGGGGAGCAGAGAGGGAGAGAAGAGGGGAGCAGAGGGTGGGACACTATTCCAATCACGAAACCACAGCAGCACACAGTACATGCAAGGCTTAGCACAGAGCAGCACACAGCAGCACACAGCAGCACACCGCCGCACACAGCAGCACACACCGGCACTCAGCAGCACACAGCAGCAGACGGCAGCACCTACCAACGCAACCACAGGAGCACTACCAGCGCTGGTACGTGTCCCCCCCTCTCTCTCTGTCCCACAGCAGGAGCACATACCAGCGCACTTGCCATCCGGCTGCATGAACCAGCCTGGGTCGCACACACAGGACGGCATTCCTGCAGTGTCCACCTTGCACGTGCTGTTGGCGCCACACACCATGGACACGCATATGTCTGGGAGGAGAGGGCGGGGGGGGGGGGGAGGGCGGGGGGGGGAAGGCGGGGTGGGAGGGGGGAGGGGGGTGGGGTTGTGGGCCCTGGAAAGTGAGATGAGGTTTGAGTTGATTGTCTAAATTCCACGTGCTGTTGGCACCACATGCCATGGGCGCACATTGGTGAGGGAAGCGAGGGGGGGAACGAGAGGTAAAACGAGAGGGAAAATGAGAGAGAGTGAGAAGGAGCAGCAGAAAGCAGCACATCCCAGCTCATACCTGCACATACCAGCACATACCAGCGCATGCAAGCACATACCACCGCACACCAGCGCATGTCACCAAATACCAGCACAAACCAGCGCATACGAGCACATGCCAGCACATACCAGCACATACCAGCACACACCAGCACATGCCAGTGCATGCCAGCTTATACCAGCGCATACAAGCACATACCAGCACATGCTACATACTACATTACAATACATTTCATTTCATTGTTTCATTACGTAATGAGATGCCAGACATGAGTCAACACGCCAGGCCTGTATCGTGGCGACGGCATGACAATTGGTGCCATAGCAGCCCTCACTTACCCACGCAAGTGGTGCCAACCATCTGGTAGCCCAGCTTGCAAACACAGGATGCCACACCGCTGGCACTCTTGATGCAGTGGGCACCGGCATCACAGCTCTTGATGTCGCACATGTCTGAAGGAGGGATGGAGAGCAGTGGAACGCCATCGCTGATTAATGAGTCGACTCAAATCTCCTTGGGGCAGTCGGCGCCGGCACCACGGCTCTTGAAGAAAGGGCGAAGCAAAATAAGCGCTTACTGATAAGAGAATGGAGAGGGAGTGATTGGGAGCACGCAGCAGCACACAGCAGCACACAGCAGCACACAGCAGCACACAACAGCACGTACCCTTGCATGTCTTGCCGTCAGCTTGCAGCACAAAGCCAGCGTCGCAAACACAAGAGGCCGCTCCAGCAGAGTTCTTGCTGCACATGCCGTTCCCACCACATTTCTGCAGCACGCATGTGTCTGGAGAGGGAGGGAGGAGCAAAAGGGGCTGCGAATGTCAAGGGCCTTCTCACAACAACAGGTGTGACCTCACAAGTTTCTGGGAGGGGGAGGGTGGCGGAGAGGAAAGGGGGCTCTTAAGGGTCAAGAGGATGCCCTTGGCCTGGCACCACAGTTCTGCAGCACGCATGTAAGCGGGGAGGGAGGAGCAACAGGGACTGCAGATGTCAATTCAAGGGCCTTCTCACAACCACAAGTGTGACCTGGAAAATTCCTCAGAGATGACTTTTGAGTCAACTCAAAAATCTTCTCACAAACCACAAGTGTGTCCTCACAGCAGCACACAGTAGCACACAACACTTCATACCAGTGCATTTCTAGCCGTCAGATTGCGGTACAAAGCCAGTGTCACAAACGCAGAATGCCGCTCCATTCGTGTCCTTGCTGCACGTGCCGTTCCCACAGCTCTGCACCACGCACGCGTCTGGGAGGAAGGAGCAGAAGGAACAATAGTTGTTAATGGCATGAGTGAAGTGAATTTGCCATAAGTTAAAACAGCACACCGCAGCAGCACAAGCACACGGCAGCAACACATACAAGGGTGAACACACAGCAGCACAAGCATGCAGCAGCAGCACATACCAGTACATGTTTTGCCATCCGCCTGCAGCTTAAAGCCCATGTCACAAACACAGGACGCCCTTCCAGCAGCGTTCTTGATGCACATGCCGTTCGCACCACACGCCTTGGCCTCACAGGGGTCTGGGTGAGGGGATGGTCCGATCCGATGGGCCAACGGAACAGTGTATGTGTGGCACATGGGAGGTCACCCAGTGAGTGACTCACTCACTCAGTGAGAGTGACTGTGCTATCAGTTTTAGCGGCCAGCAAGGCATGGCATGGCATGGCATCTGCATAGCATAACGCACACTAGGTGCAGGGCCGACACACACAGCAGCACATACAGGGCATCCTAGGCAGACAAGGTGACGCACACAGCGGCACATGCAATGGCAAACGTGCAGCACCACATTAAACGCACAGCGTACATACAAGGCTAGGGACACACATGGCAGCACATACCAGTGGTGCATGTCCTCTTGTCAGGCAGCAGCTCAAAGCCAGGGCCACAAACACAGGACGCCGCTCCAGTAGTGCCGCTCTTGATGCACGTGCTGTGCTCACCACATGCCTTGCGGTCGCAAAGGTCTGGGGCGAGAAGCGAAAGGGTCAGAAGATGTGATTACACAGCACAGCAGTACATGCCATCAGCGTAGGCAAGCACACACTAGATTAAACACACAGCAGCATCATGCACAGGCAGCACACAACAAACACACAGCAGAACGCACCAGTGCATGTCAACTTGTCAGCTTGCAGCTTGAAGCCAATGTCACAAACACAGGACGCCGCTCCAGTGCGGCTGTTCTTGATGCACGTGCTGTGCTCGCCACATCCCTTGACGTCGCAAAGGTCTGGGTGGGGAGAGGCGAAAGAGAGATAGAAGATGTGAAGGGGGCCAATATGCCATCAAGCACAGCAGCACATGCCATCGGCCTATCACACACTACCTAAAGAAGACAATAGCGGATTAGAGGGTAAGCACAGGGCAACACACAGCAGCACAAACCAGCGTAATCACACGGCAACACACTAACAGCACATACCAGTGCATGTCAACTTGTCAGCTTGCAGCTTAAAGCCAATGTTGCAAACACAGGACGCTGCTCCAGTACGGTTGTTCTTGATGCACGTGCTGCGCTCGCCACATCCCTTGGTCGCAAAGGTCTGGGTGGGGAGAGGCGAAAGGGACAGAAGATGTGGTGCGAGGGACTTTGGTATCAAGCACGGCAGCAAAAGCCATTAGCATATTCGCACACCCGCTTCAGCTCACAGCATCGTAAACACACTAAGCACAGAACAAGCATACAGTAGCACGTACCAGTGCACGTTCTCTTGTCTGCTTGCAGCTTAAAGCCAATGTCGCAGACACACGACGCCGCTCCCGTACGGTTGCTCTTGATGCACGTGCTGTTCCCACCACATCCCTTGAGGTCGCACCAGTCTGGGTGGAGAGAAGCGCACAGAAACACATGCCATCAGCATAGGCACACACTAGATTCAGCATGCAGCAGCACATAGTTCGAGGGTGGCAACCTGACGGCAACACAAAGCAGCACCCACCAGTGCATGTCCTCTTGTCAGCCTGCAGCTTAAAGCCAATGTCGCAAACGCAGGACGCCGCTCCCGTGCGGTTGTTCTTGATGCACGTGCTATTTCCACTGCATCCCTTGAGGTCGCAAAGGTCTGGATGGGGAAAAGCGCGCAGCAGCACATGCAATCAGCACACACTTGATTTAAGGGTA